TGACCACGCCCTGCCTTGGACTCTAAAACTGTAAAGTCAATCGTGAACGAATAGCAATAATTACATGCAATAAAGTTAGGAATAGCTTCCAATGAACTCATCATTGAACTCGTAAATCTGAATATCTTCGACAATTAATCTACTTCCCTAGAAGATATGGGAGTATATTTTTATATTAAATTTTTGAAAGTTTATGATGAAGTAAGAGTTATAATAGGCGTGAAAAAAAAACCGAAGATCTTTTGAAATCTATAATTAAAAAGCAAAGTATTAAGATCATGAGAAAAAAGCACGAGAAAAAAATTAATGAAAATCTAAGGTAATCCTTTACAAGAAGAAAAAAAAGAAGAACATTGAACTTGAGATCAATGTGATGGTTACGGTCCAGTAAGATATCATCGGATGTAGCTCGACAAGAATGACACAGAGAGCTCCGTGGAAACACTTGGGAGAAGTAGGTTGGTAACTTTGATGGGGTTAGATTTCACAGGTTGATCTGTGTGCTTAGAAAGAAAACTGCTGGAGCTCAAAGATACGGACGAGAGATAGATTCTGTTCGTGCCATAGAAGCTGAATTCACGTGACAAGCCGTGCGTGAGTGGTGACCCATACAAAAGTCAAAGCCTGAAATACGAGAAGCGATGAGTAATTGGTTAAAAAATCAAATTAGAAAATTTAAATTCCAACAATATTTTAAAAAAGAATAATGGTTTTCGATCAAATTAAATGATTAGTTTTCCTCAACAAATCAATTAAATTAATGTTTCATGTAAAGACAAATTTTCATAAATATTTAATGATGACAAAAAAAAGTCTATTAATTGTTACATAGATGTGTTAGGCAATTTATGTAAAGTGTTAGAGTAAAAAACTGAAATTAAATTCATGATCAAATACACCCGCGTTTCTCAGTCTCGCACCAAGGCACTTTCCCACATGTGGCTTCCTACAATGTAGTTCTTCAAGAACCGTACATAGTCAGAGCATACAACCCTACCAGTTCCCTTTATCATCTTTTCTTCTATATGTATATCTTTTTTTATTAAACACATTTGCCAGACAATCCTGGTATCCTTGTTGTCAATTTATGGTCCGTGAATTAGTAATGAATCTCCAGCATTGCGTAACAAATGCAGACTTCCTATATCGAGGGTTCGATTTGGGAATCCGCCCACATATTGGATTACCGTCCCATCTGAATCAAGTTTGGTTACATAATAAATGGATTATAGACATCAACCCATTACCTGCAGACCGAGACACCCTCTTATAACACTTCAGAGATTTTCCGTTGAATTAAACCACCTCATCCCCTTACTATAAATAACGAAAAAAAAAAACAAAAATAATTTATTCACTTCTCCTATTTCTTACAAGTCAGTAAAACAGTTGACTACTTCTTGAATCTTCACCTGGCTCATGACTCACAAGCCAAAAGACTCGGAAACACTTCCGAAGGACACCTGCTTTGCCTAAATCGAGCAACAGGTTCTTTTATAACCGTTGTGCGACATTTCGAGTATTACGTCGTAGACATAAAGTCCATTACTTATATTCACTGCTACTATCTTTCTCAACCGGAATCATAGCCGGATTCATGGCTCAAGGCATCCTACGACATCGAGAATACAATTGGGAACCCAAATTACCAACCTAGAGTTTTTCAAATTGCTCTCAAAAGTTTAGAAAGTCAAATTTACGTCAAAGATCCATCAAATAGGTCCTCGGGGCTAAAACTATAGGTTCCATCTGCCAAGATGCGCACGAGAATTACCAGGGCAGCTGCTAGTCGGGGCACGTGCCCTGGGACAAAATCTCAAGAGGGTAAAGAAGCAGTCAGGTGCATAGAGCTTTTAATGTTGTTATTATCTACACTTGAGAAACAGGTTTAGGTTATTAAAAAGTTTAAACTGTATGTAAATTTTTTGCTTTCAACCAATCGACTTTACAATGAATCATCAGCAAGTAAAGATGTAGAAATGGAAAATAATGAAATTCAAAAGGATGTTAAAAAGTACTAGGGTTATTACTTGAGGCAATGAACTTGTATAGTCACGTAATCACGTGGGATGTCCGGTAGAAGTTTGGAGACATAATGTGGATCCTTGAACCTCTGAGTCACTTCTTCCCGTTGGTGTAATCATATCATATAAGGATTTCCCTTTCTTATAAAGATATATATCTGATATAAAATAAATAAATGTATTTTTCTCTTTTACTTCATTTTGATTCTCTCATTAAGCAGGTGTGCGCCAAAGTTACCAACTATAAAGCCCGCTCTCGTTTTTTTCAGTTCTTTCTCGCTAATTTTAACTCAATTTTGAGCTTCAAATTATGTTAATTACAACAACAGGATCTGTATAGAGTAGTTAGGAACAAACTTCTACAATATCATTACAGAAACTAGAAGATAGCTAAAGGCTCAAATTAGTACCTCACGGAAAGACGATAGCAGAAATGTGGATCATCAAAGAATTTTTTGCACAACAGCATGGCCATAATTAGAGAAACGAAAAAAACTTGGATATTTAGCACGCGAGTTGTTGATGCAGGTTGCATTTACAGCTGGAGAATTTATCAATATTTTGTTAGAGAAAATTATGGTTGCTAAATAAAACACCCTGAGGGATATCTGCAAGTGTACACTCATCAACTAAAGATAGAGTGGGAACATTGATAAGAACTTCCTCTGCATTTTCACTATGGGAATAAATGTATTATTTTCAAATACAACCTTGAACTCTACGCTTTAACGAACGACATCATTAAACAGCGGTAGAGTGCAATGTTTTCAGTAACTTTACGCTTCAATGTACGCCCGGATATTCCACTCTGAAATAGAAAAACCCAATCACTGCCAACAGTAAATGCGTTAATTCATCGCAGTAAACATGTGATTACCAATGATACGGGAGTTAGATATAAATATAACATGTGTATACATTCAATGAATAAAAAACTACATTCAAAAAGGAGAATCTCCCGCACTTAACTGGCGCCGCAAACCTTGAACTCAACTGCTACTTTATGATACAAAGCGTGGGTGCAAAGGAAGACCGGATGCAAACGCGTCGATGTCGTGGAAGTGAAGACTCTCACCTTCGCTTCACTTAAGAGTTCAAGATCCCTCCCACGATGAGAGCCAAGATGAGACTTTAACTACGATTTAACAAGTATCGATAAGAAGAACGATTTATTTTTCAATGGAAATGTTGCATTTTACTACTCTAATCGCTACTGATTTCGACTGAATAAAGTTAATCACTTCCCGGAAGTGTGGACTAAGGGAAGATACTTTTTTCGAAGCAGGTGTTGACCTCAACAATGAAATTAGTAAGTATTTGCAGCAACCTGTTACGTAAATATGTTCATTTTTAATTTTTAAAAACTAACTGAGGGGTAATTAAATTTGAACACTATCTGTGATGGATCGTATCCTTAATTTCATATTTACGCCTTAAGGATCTAATCTATTTCCTTTGGGTTTTTGTATTCAAATGATTTTTTTCCAAGACAATAAAAAAAAGGTATCATCTGGTAAATCTATTGGACATTACAAATTAACGTATTCTAACTTTTGTGGGAAACTAACTTTTTCAGACCACCTTGAATTTTATCGGAAATTTTTTAGAATGTTTTTTAGGTACTTTTCAAGAAATCTCTAGCACTTTTCAAGACTTCTCGATTTCTCGACATCTTTCTTATAACTTAAATCCAACTCTGTCTTCCTCAATACTTCGACAAGGCGATTTTAGTTATTAGAAAATTCATGAAACTGAATTTAAATGAATATTATATATACCAATTAAGATAAAACATTTTTTAGCTGATAAAGAAGTTAGATAAATTAACAAGATTAAAACAACTTTCCTATACTCTTTAAATAGCAGTGAGATTAAAAAAAGCTTTCAATTTCATTCTTTACGATCAGTCTATAAAGTTTTCATTTAAAAAATCCAAACTTTTCGTATTTCTATTAATGCGATATTTTGAAGTCATAAATGTCCTCAAATTATTTATGCAAAAATGTACACCTTATGAATACATCTATGAACATTCATCATTAAATTAGAACGCATAAGGTAACGCATGTAGGAGTTCACACACTGGTAGCATTTTTTAAGTGCCTATTAACATCAAACAACTTTACTATTTTATCTAAGAAAATATACTCTAAACTTATAAGTTAAGTTTCACACTCAGATTCATATGAGAAATATGAAAAATTTTATTTCAATATAATATTTTTGCATGAGATTTAAAGATTTCGATACTAAAGGCACTTCAGCAAGTCATCAACAACTCCTAAATCCCCATGAGTCGAGTGATAGAGAGTACTCCACAATTATCTGAATGCTCTTCAAGTTATACAGAGATCAGCAAAACTTTCCAAGCATTTCATCTCCTTAAAATGTAAGCTTTCAACAAAATCCGTTGACTTGTTCATAAACTGGCTTTAGAAATCTCCAGCTTCTCACGAACACTCAAGATTTAAATCAGAGCAAATATAATGGTCTGAGGTCTAGGCGCCAGTCATAATACTTGACAAAAATGTAATCTTAGTCACTATTCAATTCCTTTGTTCCTATAAACGGAACAACGTGAGACAAGACCACCCATTGACACACCTACTGTTTTTGCTTTTGAAATCGCAGTTGTTATCACGTGTTACATACATCTACTATAAATAATACGTAACATGTATAACGATTGATTGATAGGTAAGATAGTAAGAAAATTAGTGGTCGGCACAGGCAAAAATAATAGCAATTCTGTGTCATGAATTGTATAGAGACATGCGTGATGTAACCACAATAATTAAATTGAATATTGAAGTGATAAAATTCTCAATAGTGTATGTAATCTCAACAATTAACTATATAATCATTCACTCAATAATCTTGTAACCCACTTTGCAAATTATTGATATGAAAATACGTGCTAAAAAAAACGAAAGTGAGTAAAAAAAATTAAAAAGATTTTTTTATAGGTTTAATTACCTGAACAGCACTGTTAAGGAAGCAGTTATTCTGTCCTGGTCCATTGAGCAGGCCTTTAGTGCTCGTAAAACTCGTATTGTGTTCTCTGTTGTCTTGCTTCTGACTGTTCTGCTGCAGTTGATACCGATCATTTAAGCTCCCGAGGACTTTACGATTATGGGAAGTCTTCAGGTAATCCACATAGTCTACAGTGTCCTGAGACGCAACCTGCTGCTGTACCAAGCCCATTGCAGCAGTCATTTTATATTCTACGTCAAGATCTGTAATAGAAACAATTTAAAGAGTGAAAATATGGCATACTGATAAATAAAATCAGAATATATATCTACAATTTTTTAATAGTATTTCTCAGAACTAAAAGTAACCATTTACATACATTTATTTCATTCAATTCTATTAGGATTATTTATAAGATTCGAAACTGAGTATGTAATAAATAAAAAATTTTCTCAACAAGTTTGCAATAATAGAGTAAAAATAGAGTTAATCATGAATTTTTTTTTCTTTGGTTGTAAAACAAAAATAAAACTTAATAATAAATGCAATAAAAAATTATATTAAAAGTATGGTAGACCAATGCAGTTGAATCTTATTCATTAATTTTTCACTCGTCCATTCTAATTCCAATTACCCACGGTAACTGCGTATCAACCACTACTCAACTTATTCACCTATGTACTTGCAACGGAAGGTGGAAATCGTTGACCTCGTTAAAAAGCGTGTGAATACCACTATATCAAGGTTTTTCTACTTCTCGTCGCATTTATGCATAAAGATTATATCATTATTTTAATTTTTTTCTATAAATTCATCGAAGAAATGTCATTGGATCTAATATCTATGTATAAGTGATTGATGGTGACGACTGATTTATCAATTTTAGCATCCTGCAGTAGCTAACGCCTACGCGACAAGCAGAACGGTAATTCTAGTAGGAACATGACATCTGTAAGTAGCATCTATGCATCGATGCGTTTGCAGTATTAAATAGTCGGTATCATTGAAACTTACATCAGTTATTCGAGGACATATACAACAGAAAAATTATTGAAAAAATTTAAACTCAATCAACCTTTCTTTGCCAAGGATAACTACATTGCAATTGTCACTATTTTTTGCTGTTTATTATGATTCTAACTATTCTTGACTTTGTTTAATGGCCGATAAAATTCATAATTAGCCATATCAATGATAAGCATCATAGCGAATAATATGATAAAAAAATTTGACCTGAAAAATGAATAATTATCTGCAAGTTCAATGAACTCATATACTTTATAATAACTATGTAAATAAATAATATATATTAATACTGGTTGAAATAATTCTTCAATCATTCAAGTAAAAGGATTATTTTTTTAGAGCTAAACGGAATGGAGTAAAAATAGCAGCTTTAAGACTTCGCCATAAAGTAGAACACACACAGTCGAGTTTTCCTAACACATTTTGCACGTTTAATGCTTAAAAAAAAATTTTCCACATTTAGCGACGATTTTTGAATTATATAATAATTAAATTTAGATAATGAATTTTGATAAATTCAAATTTCAAAAATGCAGAAAACTTCCGATACCGGGAATCGAACCCGGATCTCCTGGGTGAGAGCCAGGTATCATAGCCATTAGACCATATCGGAGAGAATGAGAAAACAAGGGTGTATTTTTTAACAGATGTATAAAATGATAAAAGTAGCATCCCAGAAACTGGTTTCTTAATTAACACACTAAAAACCGTAGAATTTATAATGTCAACAATGAATAAATTATATTATTTTTGTATCCATCAATTTCATCAACTTTTTCTTCCTTTAATTTTTATATATCTGCAAACAAAAATTTTAGAATTAGGGATTGGAATATATTTAAATAATAATATAATTTAAATTCATAGAAATAAACATTTTATGTTGAAAAAAGACATTTTATAAAAATAGCAAGTTCATTACCTCCCTAGCCACAATCGTCTCGCGTGCATATATGTACGTGCTAAGCATGTGCGGCTGGAAGTTTAGTGACGAGTAAAGTCTTCAGAATAACAATACTCTTCAATGAAAACTTATTTAAAATCTAACAATGTCTCTAAGACCTAGAGCTGTTAAAATTTTATTACTGTTATAAAATAAATTAAAATAACCGCAAGTGTTTTTTTAAAACACTCTGAAAAAAAGTTATACATATCATATGAATTATAAAACGCTATCTAAACATGATAACAGAATTAATAAAATATGAGTCACATTCCATTACTTGTTTTAATTTATACTTTGATAACTGAGTTGTAGAAATGAATTCGAACAATTAGCTAATGATCTAAATTACTGAAATGAATGTTTCTTTGTTATTTTAACGTGGTAAATTTTGTAACACTTCATTATGCATATGACCTAAAAAGCATCATCACTATTGACAGAATTATTCATCGCTAACTTCACCATTTGCATGATATTGCAAATTCCGTAGTTTGAAGCTAAAAAACAATTTGATGAAAAATGAAATTCGAAACATTTCAAATATCAAATTGTCAATAGCACCATGTACAATACTATCTACAGCAATTTGTAAGTGTCAATGTGTATATTCTTCTGCAATGCAGAATTTTCATTGAAATCATCTGATGAATTTTTTCATACACTTCAATACCATTGTAAATATTTATTATTCACATAGTTTCCTTAAGATTTATTAACATCCATAATCTAGATAAAAAATATTCTAAAAAATTAATAAAATATTTATTGTCCAAAGTCATTTAAACGTATCACATTCAACATTTTTTATCGAAAGATTTATCTACTTCAAATCCAACATTCATCAGGTTCATTAACCATAAATCATATTCCAAGCCTTTTCAAGTAATTACTTCACTTCCATTCTTGAATAACAATTTTCATTCTCTAAAAATAAGAACTGCGCGTTTAAATAGCGAAATCTAAGTTTGAATAGCTTCTGATTACTTAACTTAAACATTTATAAGATAAAATATGTTGGGAATCGATAAGGATATTGTTACAGAATAATTGGTACTATCTTTCACCTCTCAGTTATTCTACTTGGTGGTTATTGAGTTTGCAATTAAAAAGAGACTGCAAATATCAATTTTAAGAACCCCCTAAGAGCCAGGCCTATTGCTTTTTAGCTCACGAAGTTCCAAGTGCAGTTATTTCATTTTGTATTCACCAAGATGGCATATTATTAACATTACGAGATCTTTCTATATTGGAATGAAAAAAAAAATCGAAGCTAAACTAGTTTTCTAGAGTAACTAAATATTTCGAAATTCAGATAGTTTTTGAAACAGATATTAAATAGATAATTAATTATTATTATTATAATTATTTATAATAAAAGTTAACAAATAATAAATGTGCTTGGGAAATTAATGTTTCTATCCGTTTCACTTTGTAGTTATAATCTAAAATTAATTGTTCAGTCTTTTAGAAACAGTATATCATTCACGCATGCCTTTGTAATGATTAAAATAATTATTCTTGAACTAATGATACTAAAGAAAATTCTTCTGTTTTTCTTCTATAATGTCTACATTCTGTGTCACTTTTCCACATCACTGACATGTGAATATTTTTTCTGCAGTTATGAAAAAGCTTTTGTATGTATTTTTCATTTTGTGACATCTCCGTCGTTTATTCGTTTCTCCTGGACCATCAGCATAAACCGTCTAAAGTGAATATTCATGAGCCAAGTATTTATTCTTTTTACAATCCACACCTCTTTAGCCATATTCTCCATCTTCTTCTTTTTCAATCTTCATATGGCGTTGTTTTTTCTTTCTTTCATTTCCTCTTCCAATATTTTTCATAGCTAACACTTAAAAGCTATACGAAGGGTGTAAAGAACCTTGATTTTTTTTTGGCTGACATCATCACAAAAATAAACGAATAAAATAAAGAAAAGAATTAAAAGAGAGTTCAAAACTTCTTCGAACTTATCTTCTGGAAGACTTAGGGCATTCAAGGCGACATTCTATCGTGGCTCGGAATCCTGTAGGGACTAAAATAGCTAAGCACACCTGCATGATACTAAAAGTTGCTAACTTTAATTCAGGTACATCGTTTCCATCAAACTATTTCAATTGAATTTCTATAGATAAGGCAGTGTGCCAGCAACCCAAGTGTAATTAAATTAGTACACTTGGCAAGGTTTTTCGAATCATTTATCAAAATTATATTCATTTAGGAAGAAAGTTTCACTTTTCAAACTAATAAATAGCACAATAATCATTATTATTTAATTCGTCGTAAATTAAATTCCTAACATGTGCCAATAAAAATAGCTCAGACCTTGAACCTTTTTATATCCACTACTCAATCTCAATATAACAAATTCGACGTGATCAGTCAACTGAATTGAAGTGGAACTCAATGTGCATTCGAGAGTATCATGCTGTCAACCTATTCAATAATTGACAATAAATTTAAAGTAAATATGCTTCGAGATAAAATGACTATAAAATATATCTATTTATATTTATTAATATTATTATTTCATCATTAACATCTTTTTAATTTTTAAATTGTATACCACTCGTGATTTTCGACCAACAAAGCTTGAACGAAATATACGTAGTGTATATATTATATTGAGATAAACGAAAAACGGGCCACCATGCCTCAGGGCATCAGTCACAAGGTGGCCAATTAAATGGGAACCCTTGAAGTCACTCTGCAATCATGGCACCCCACCTGCGTCTCAAAAAAGGACGGACCGGTCTTGAAACGAGTGTAGTGATTGTCGATTCGAAGTTTGTTGCTTCCAAGCAAATCGCTCCACCAAAAAACCAAGTAGAAATAAATAATTGCCAGGAGTTAGTTTACGAATACAGGTGCAACAGCGTGCAGACAATTTTCGGGTACATCAGTCTAACGAGATTTATCTCGAGTTTAAAATGAAAAAATATAAGAGTCATGCAATATTTTAATTAATCCTCCACTTTTACTTAGATAATAAATAAGCTATTTAGATGATTAATGGAAAAAAGTTAGAATAGATCATTTTGTCATGAAGTGTTTAAGGATAATTTATGAAAGATGATAAATTTCGCCGAATGTGAATGACTTGTACAATCATGTCAAGGCTGGGTCATAAAACTTTGCCTTTTTTACGCCCTGCAGTTCGCTAAGCTGAAGCAGAAATAGTTTAGGAAAGTTGCCAATAAGGCGTTGAAAGAAAAGATCTTATATGAGAATTTATGAAGAAATGACATGAAAAATAGATATGTAGAGAATGTTCAATAACTTGAATAAATCTGGAATAAAACCGCAAAGAATTTTTGCAAAAAGGGCTGAATAAAATCATGAGGGGTCCAACAAAAAGGCACGCGAATTTTTGTGGATTCTATGTACACCTGCGTAGTACGTATTAAATTTTGCACGGTTGATCGCGTCACGTTTGCGGTCCAGGTGGATGAGCCAAAACGAAAAAAAAAAAGAAAAAGTCCAAAAAATTAAAGAAAAAAAAACCAAAATTATTTTCAGAACCCGTTCGACCGGCTGGCCGCACGAAACATCTTCGATGTCGCGAATAGAAGATAACTCCAAGTGCCCTAAAGGCACGAGGCTCTGTGGTAACGCTTTATTAATGTGAGTAAACATTACTTTGTAAAAATGAATCCAGTCACGTCGACAAATAATTATAAAGCATCTACAATGTTGATAACTTTCTAAAAGGCTTCTGTACTTCATAATTCCATAGTTATCAAATAGAAAAGAGTCACAAAGAACTGAATACCTTTAGCAAGTTATAAAACTTGGCAAAAAATTAACAACAAAGAGCAATAGTATGGAGCTCTTATGGCTCATAAACATTGCAGATTATGCATACGTCGTGCCTGTTAGAATGATATATGACGAATTTTCCTTCAAAGATAAAATTTTATATCTGTATACATAGGTAACTAAAAATAAATAATTAAAATTTGAATAAAAGAAAGTTAGTTGACCTCACCTGTTTTTTTCAAATCAAAAAGTAGGACTTAGGAATTCTTTCAATACATAGAAAGAAATATTAAATGAGAAACTCAATCTATTGACTATAGTCCCTTAGGACGTCATATAGTTTTATAGGCTCCACCTCCAATCATCATGCCTAACTGTGAGCCAAGACATTTAGTTGCAATGTATTATTATATACGATCTTTACTTAGAAAAAAAAAACCGGTCCTTTTTAGTTTACATTGTTTGCTTCTTAGCTCATCTCGCGATTAGGAAAGGGCTTTACAAAAGATATCAATCTTTATATATGAATTCTGACAGCAAATAATCTAAGTTGAATATTCTCACGTTGCTTTTATGTGGAATATATATTTTTTTCTACTTAGCAAAATGAAATCATCGCGTGCAATAATTAATCTTGTTATACATCACGAAAACTAATTGAGTCCCACCTCATGCCTGGAGTCTTGAGGGAATTTCCAGTACTTTTATAACCTCAGTCCAATCGACCTTAGTAGAAAAAACATCGTGGAACAGTTCACATCATGGAGAACAATGGAGAATTCAATATACCTAATCTCGATGAAGATGGTTCTACATCATCTATATCTCATAGAAATTTTTTTTCGAACGAAATCAATAAATTAGAGCAAATAATAAGTGTAGATTTAGCTATTTTCATCTTTACT